GAACCTAAATTTCACTGTTTGTTGGTACATGGGTTGAATGCACAACATTTCCTAGCTTTTGCCGTTCTTTGACGTTGTACCTCTCGCACGCAGCCTAGAATTCAGGCTATGCTTGCGGAAAGTCTGAAAAGTGAGGCTACTTGGATCACTTCAGGTCGCATCAAAATATTCAGTTCATCTGCACGGTCCTTTCAATGAATGGCTGTCACACAACTCAAAGAGAGCATGAGGAACGATATACTGTCACGCTATTCTTGGCTAACCAGGGGCATAAGGAAGGTTTATTCCATGGATGATTTGGGATCACTAGTGCACCACTAGCCATAGTACATCCGTGTCCTGTTTTTTTAGCAATACTGTAGTTCTGGAATAACGGACAAGGTTTGTCTCTCGAAATCCCCGTGTTGTTCGTCGGCCACGAGGACAAAGAGTTACAGTAATCATACTCATCAAGGGTTCTGTCCCACAGGATAACCAAAAAGAGTTCGGCCACAGTGCTCCTACACAGTAATGTCCCTGAAATCCTGCACTTAGGACCATGTAGCCGGGTTTGAAATTATCAAGGATTTTTGATCGTCTGATTTTTGGTCATCAGTATCACTTTGCATGTTTTTCATATGATTCTTTTCGTCAACAAGAGTTCAGTTTCCACAGCTACTTTCATACTGTGGACACAACTTCCCTGCGGTTATGGTGAGACTGTTTTGTCCAGAGTGATACATTTAGCGAGAGGCTTGGATCATTAAGCCGGATCTGTCAAACCCATTTTCGCATCATTTCGCCTTCCTCTCCGCAGACACTAGCTGCGTATTAGTCCGATGTGCAAACCTTTAACGTACTGCATTCTTGTGCTGTTCATGCGCCACTGATGCCGGTAGGCCTTATTTTATGCCAACCACTTGTTTGTACGTTTCTTGGTTAATTGCCACCGGAATGTCCATTTGCTAGTTTTGTCCCATCGTTGCAAAGTAGATGCTGTGGCAGCGTATCCGGACACATCAGATTCAGCTGCCCTCTCTAACGGGGTGTATTTTTAGCAGGCATCAACATGTTTGACTATAGACCCAGTTGTCGCCACACCATAGTATGCGCTTTTTCTAAAGCTGCATCAAACATTGTTGTACTTGCTACTAATGGTTAGTTAATCGACCTAAACAAAAGACTGGCTCTGTAGCTGGGGCAATGATTTTTGTGCAAAGTTGGACAGACTTCATCCACTGAGTAATATTAGCTGGTCCTCTAGAGCACGTCAGTCAATGTCCATAGCGCAGTTGGGGTGTGCTATGTGTAGTTTTTGTTGTCTTGTTTACCCAATGAATCGGGAGTTTTGCTTTGCTAATCCATCGCTGAAACTTCCGCTCATTAGGAATACGGCCATTTTGAGAACATTGATGATAGTTTCCATCACATCGTTTTAACAAGACAAGCAGACAAAATGCGTTTGCGTGTGTAAATTAGTGACCTGAGTGTAGCAAGATCGCAATCACACCCGACCATACAATAGCAATCAAGGGTCCATTAACGTTATAGATGTACTCTATATAATTTTTTGAACTGTCGCTCCCAAAGTTTTTAAGCCTATACACCCTCTCTAGAGAGACAACAACGTATAGTTTTACAGTAATGCGGAAGAAACTTCATTCCTGTCCGTTCCGTGATATAATGAATTCCTACCTCCGCATAACCGCCATAGTGCTTGTATTATTATACAAGTGACCATCGTTATTGCGAGCGTAGACAAATTTTTTAGTCTGAGCGGCAATTTCGTCAGAAACGTGAACATCGACACTTAGAGATGATTCCATCACCAGGAACGTTTGAACAGAAATGCAGTACTTTCTGAATGATGACTACTCATCGCCTCATTGACAACAATCTTCGTAGAAATACTACCTGAAAGAGCGCTGCATCGTGACGTTTACTCAAAGCTTGCCTGTGATGCGACTTTTGCTCCTGTTTTTCATCTTGATACATTCGTTAAGCATGTATTACTATCTGTTCGGGTCAACAAAAGTTTTAGACTTTATCCTTCATGGGAATGTTTGGTCAGGATTACAGCTTACAGTTATTCTCGAATGTGCATGTACTCCACACCCTGGTGCACCTTTGCGTTCCCACCATCTGCAAACTTACGCGAGCGATTTTTTGTCCTATTATCTCTCGCCACATCATATCATTCATTGTTTGGCAGATTTCATCGCTCTGGATGGTCTTGCTGATTTTCGTTTGTGAGCACCTCGTAAACCCGTTTCGGGTAACTGTTTGCTGACGAATTCGAGTTGTGACTGCCGGTTACACTATGCTTCGACCTTGACAGCCTAGCGGTGCGCGCTAGTGACTTAGGTTCACAAGACGGCATTCTATCCTGGTTGTCTAACGTATTTTCTGGAAAAATACGCAAGTTTAGGCGACAAATCTTCAAACACTCGATAGTGGCGCAATTAGTACCCTTTTATTGAACTCGGTCGACATTCTATATTCCAACTAACTTTTGTGACGCCGCGGGAATTTGAACAAAAGTGTGTCTGAAGAGCGTCGATTTATCGCTGCCTGCCAGTCACATTGCTTAAAAAGCTCAAGGAATACATTGAACAGTCTCAGCAGTGCTGAGACGAATGATCACGAAGAACTTCTTTGGAATGCTTAAGGATTTTCGGGCGTAGCAAGAACTCACTGAAGAGTTTTTACAATTTCGCAACCTCGCAATCGCCGGAATACTGCTAAGTGTTGCCTGTACACTGTGCCGTTACTTCCGGAAATCGCTGGTCAAGTTATAAGTAGAAGGACCTGTGCTTATGCAGCTGTTCCATGTGTGTATGCAATTTCCCACATCTTTGCAGGCCCAATCTTCGCACTACGGAATCTGAACTTCATACGATTTGTGTAATTAGGTGTTGTTACGAATTTGCACGCACCTGCACCAGTTCAGCAAGTCTGTGTTTTGGTCCCATGGTTCGACTACCTTCACTCGAATTTCTTCACCCGCCTCTATCTAGGTGTCACGCCTCCCCTCGTAGGAATATCCCATAAATTAACTTTTTATGACCGTTCTGCTGATGGCTCTGTTTGTCGGTCTTCTGTTTGTAACTTGAAATAAGGTAGGTTGACCAGATGAGAGCGACTAAGTGGAAACCAGACAGAAAGTATTGAAAATCACCCACTGTTCAATAGAAGAATATAGCGTAACTGCAAAAAAATTACCACTCTTTGGAAAGTTCAGAGAAGCGCCCCCCGTCAGGCACAATTTGAATGTGCAGGCCAATCGTTTTGTCTTATGGGTTTCTGTTAGGCTGCTAAATTCTAATTGGTCACTTTGGAGCTGCAGGAAGTAATATACATCGGACGAGCAATCTGAAGCTAATCGCGTTGTCGATGAATGAACGATGAGTATTTGGAAGGCATTCACTGAGAAACTGTGCCCAATTAGTGCGAACGAAAGGGTTGGCTGTTTCGGTCGTTCGTCCACGTCCCTGCATGCTAGGTCTGTTGACCTCGCATACGAACACCGTGAGACTTCACAGAGCTACAGTCGTCATGATGTCAATCCGTAAAGAGATAGTAAGATGCCCATCGGTTGATGCTTCTTCGATTACTGTATACCGGGGTATGAGTTGGTGTCATCGTTGGAAATCTGTGCGTTTATGTGTGTGTGAGGAACTATAGGATTTCAGGTCACTTGAGCAATAGTGACCAACTTCGTACTCGTACAGCTTGCAAGTTCGGACCGGCGAAAGGGAAACATGATCTCACGAACGGACCGCTTGCTCGGTATGACCTGTAGTACCCGGAATTTCTAGAGTTCGCGTTCACGTCGCTCTCGTTTGGATAGTCCTCTTCTTGTCATGTTGCAATTATTCTTGTCAGTGAACACTAAAGAAGCACGACCAAAGGTATACAGGTGATACCCAATCGGAATGAACTTCCACGTTAGTCACCTGTTACTCTTCTCAACTGCATCTGCCCCCGGACTCCCTGTGGGGTACTGCCCCATTCGGAGTCTCTTCAGTATACCAGTCAAACTTGACTTCTTCGGGCAACTGTTTTTAGATCCTGCAAGAAAAGAACACGACGGAGTTTGAACTTTCTAAGGATATTATTCTGCACAGTATTGATAATTTGTACAATATGCCAGATGTATGTCGTTGCATATTTCCGGCTATGCACTGCAGTCGGCGTGATGAGAAGAAAATAGGAAAACAGCTGGTCAAGAAGAGGATTCACGTTTAGTTACTAGCATCCCACCACTCTGGTGATGACAACGAAACAAACAAGTGATTCTTGTCAACCTGTCTGCAAGTTGAAGTAACGGATTGTTAAATATATGAAGTAGTATCATAGGCGCGATATCCATATTGGTGTTCGCAGTAAGTGCTGAGATGTTGGTGATTTTGGTTGTTGGTAGCGGATTTGAACCTGTATAAGTTTGGTGCTGCCTAACTCGACTTTGACCTTGATTGCATGTCACAAGTTGTTGCCGAAACTGACAGGCCCCATCGATGCAAAAATCCAAACACCTCAGACTTTTGTCCCATAAACAATTGCATTTGGATTTGGTTGTCGCACATGGTGAAAACGAATGCTTCGTTTTGATGATCGAGAGTGAAATGAAACTTATAAGAGTCAGAAGTGGGTAGATACAAGGTCAATCCTACCCCATGGTATAATTGTATGCGAATGTCGCTGCTACTCTGTGACTTCATAACCCCCACGGCTGCATAGTGCAGATGTAGTATTGGTGAATAAGTCGACTCGGTATCCAGTCATAACAGACAGACACAACATACCAGTTAGTTTTCATCTTGTATGTCAATAGCAAGCAATGGAACAAATCACAATGGTTCATTTTCATTTAAGTTTCCCACTGGCCGTGTAATTTGACATCACGGAATTCCGTCTTGTGGACACTTCACCTCCTCTGTTTCGTATTACATTACGCATAGATCTTTCTTGTTTTCGTATTATGTCTTCACATTGTATCTTCCTTCGTCCACGAATTCCAGCCCCAGTTACCAAGGAGCGACCATCCGTAGCCCCCATATCGAGTTCCGGTTATGGGAGTGTTCAGCAGACTAGCCTCTCAGATTTTGACATGTACCCCACGGAGTCCAGTCATCTGGGTTCCAGTTCCAATGCCCTGATGGATGAGGTAGAACTTGAGCGTGCCAGCTCTGAGGATTGTATTGAAACTACAGATGATGAAGAAATTGACCGACTGTTGCTTCTTGATCACGGACGTTTTTGGGGGCCCGAGAGATCTCGTGCCCCATCAGGACGCGAAGCAGGCCCCGTACTGGAGAGTAGAACTGGATCAACAAACCGACTGCGTGTTTTGGATGATTGTCAGGTTTCCAGACCACTGACCTCGTGCAAACCCAGTGTCGAAGAAAAGGAGAACTTTCCGGAGGTATGTTTCCCTCTCCCCATTCTCTAAATAACACTTTTAATCAAGACATTTTGAATTTACGGTATTTCCTCGAAATCAAAGTCTGTCCTCTGTGGTCCAAACAGATCTAACGTTCTGTAGGACAAGAAGCGGCTTCAAGTGATGGTTGACGGGTTCGAAACAAACTCGCAATCTCCTTAGTCATTATTCCACCTAGTCAGACTGTTTGAATGCGACTCTGTAATCAGAATCACCGTGAACCCGCACACCGCATCTAATTAGTAGTAAACCCTCGGATCGGAATTTCACTTCATGTTGCCAGAAGGCGCGGCGACACCGCCTTCTACCCTTAACACATGTGTCTGTCTTGTTACCCTTTGATAACCCACCACACCCTAAGACCACTATCTACACTTGCACAACCTGTGAAGGGTAAATTGCACCAACCAAATGACGCCACTTGATGTACTTTGTGTATCGCGAAGCTAAAGCACGAGGAGTCCAGATATTGTCTTAGTCGACGTTGACCCTAATACACAAATGGGACGTTTATGTTTATCGGAGGTGCCATTTACTGCCCTCTTTAGCTTGGATTGAACACGTCATCACAGTGATGGTAGACTTTTAGAACTCTGTACTGACACCAGTTGTTCCTCATTAGCATACGTACGCGGACGCCGTTGCGCCTCTTGGCACTTTGCAATTGATGGGCAGCCGTGGAGCCAGATTGCCCACGTAACCATTAACACTCCGCGGCGAAGTGCTGTCCTTCATTATTGGTCTTTTTGGACCACTCACATCGATTTAGACTATGCCCATATCCTGTATGGGGTTTCCATAAGATTCCTGGGGGACTGTAGAAAAAATTCTTACTCACAAGTTGTGAAACTACCTTACGTAAGGCTGTGAAATGTTCATCCTCAGGACACGAGATACTTACCGCAATGAACTAGGCACGCAGTGTTTCCGAAGGGGAACCAAATGAGCACTGGATTTCAAAACGCTCACTGTCTGTGTGACACATCATGTCCCTTCGAGCGCAAGGGCTGTTAAACGTCAACTCAAACATAGTCTGCCTGTGGACAGAGAAACCTAGTGGAATCAGTGGGCTTCGGAATAGGAAGCTAGCACCCCTGGGAATCTCCGGAAACTTTTTCATAGAAATACGCAAAATGGAACCAAAAACGGCTGTTTTTGAGGGAGATTTAACATATAACATGAATGAGGGTCATCGGCTGAATATTTTTGGCAATGGCTTAGTTGGTCGTCTGCCTCTGTACTCGTCTTTCTTTTGATCCGCTCAACTCTAGCTGTGGTCTGTGACCTCTGACCATATCTCAGTTTCTGATGTGCTAACATAGCCCTTTACCTGTCAGGAATGTCAGAATGCGTGAAACCCTCACCCCACTACAATCGCATTAGGAAAGTCATCAATCATCCAAGCCAGAGGAGCCAGCTGCTTATGAGACCCTAAAGCAGTCAATCAGGTCTGCGGTGACCGACGATCAGTGTCCAGGCATTTCACAAGCACGGTCGACGATGTTGGGTGTTCACCAAATGCCGATCAAAGAGCCTGAACCAAAGTCAAAGTGTGTTTTAATTGGCGCGAGTCTCCTTCCAACTTTCGCACTCGCTTGTTCACAATAAAGCCGTTGTGTTCCTTGTTGGCGAGTCTTTTTCCGTTACTAAGGCAATGGAGCGGGGACAATACTTAGTTGCAATATTACCTAGGAGCGTCATTGGCCCACTGGCCCGCAATGTCTTCCACCAGCATTGTTTAAACACTGGTTAGTCATTATGCTTTGCCTGGATCAGTTTGGAAAAATAAGTTGAGAACGAGATTGCGCTCGAACAACCTGGGGTCAATCCGTCATTGAACCTTTATTGAAAAAAGACACTTGCGACAACTGTCGTAACCATAGGGTCTTCAGTTTTGGCACAGCTGTTTGTTTCGATACTACCAAGACTGCTGACCTCGTCAAGCCAGGTGCAAGGTAGGAGAAGATGCACAATGAACGATCCAGCCTGTTGAGTTACCGCGGTCTACCACTTTGTTTACAGAGTTTTTTTGTTCCATTCATGTTGGTAGATCTGCGGAGTCTCTTGTTGTATTTTACTGTATTGTATTGTACTCATCACTTAAGACCTTTGACCAATTCACTCTACTTTCTCCCCTTGATCTCAGGTGGAGATTCGTTATTACGTGGTGGAACGATACTATGGTCCAGAACCAAAACCTGCCAGCATTTTACAATTTCCTGAACGGCAATGTGTCGAGTGTACGTCGAACGTACAGAGATCTTCGGCACGTCCTAACCAAAGCTAGCAGAAATGCCCTCGTGCAACGTTTCAATCCTTTTCTCTCTCTACCTACTTGTTGAGTTCATGTTGTTATTTTATTTTGAGCTGCCCTGCATCCTATGCTGTCCTCGCTTCAGACAATTATAGCTGTCTTTTTATTCTCCTCACCCAACTGTAACAACTCGTAACTCAGCTAATCCAAACCGATGTTCTTTCTCACTTTTGTTTTATGAATGGTTACAGGTTACGTGAGAAATACCGTATGTGCACCACAGTCTTTGTACAAATTTGCACCCTCTACGCTTTTTCATCCAAGCCGGTTTACATCCCTGAGGAGCACTCTTGAGACAGAGTGTGATATCCTTTTGAGTTCCATCGTTTTATGGCCTTTGTCACTGGTAACGTGTTCCCCGCACACCCACCAACTCTTTGACTACATCCTTGATTTCCTGTTCTGGTGGAAGCCCCTCGTTTTGTATAGTTTCGTCCCAGATTTATACGGAGTTTGAATAAAATTACTTTCACTAGTTTTCGTTGTGAGATTTTTCTCTGGCCGGCGGTGTTCTGCACCACACGGCCGATATACAAATAGAGTGAAAACTCGGAATACGCGATAGATTTTTACAGATTTTAGTTCTCTGGAGTGTTAGGCCGCAGCTGAATTGTAGCCAGCTATGTAAGAGACAGCGAAACTTTTTCCCTCACGTAAAGTCGATATCCTAATTCATAACTCACCGGCATTTCAGAAACCATGAGCCATTGGCTCAGCATAAAATTCCAGGCGCCGGTCAAACCAATCACGTCGCTCAAGCGATTTACCACATTCACTTGTTCAGACGTGGCAATGCATGTCCGTCGAGCGTGCGCTGGCATAGTAGGGGTAACACGACCGGCTCACATATCAGATATCCGGAATTCAAACTACGGCACGTCCAAGCTTATGTACCTTCTTTGATGTGGACTCACCAGAATAACTTTTCTATGGTAGAAAGAGAACTCTTCCAACGAGAGTGATGTGGATGTGTATTCTACAACTCCCGCAATCACCGATTATTAATGAAGTTGATGTTTTCCGTCAAACCAAATTTTCTAGGCATGACCAAAATTATCTAGGTAAGCCATAACAACCTTTTTGTCCAACCTCTTGGATGGGTATGAGGACACTTCCAGACCTTACGGTTAGTTTATCTCGAGAACGATCACAGATGAAGATCTTTCGTGCAGCCTTGTGGTTTCAAGCAATTTGATGGGGACGCCATAGCTACTAGCCAGTTGCAGTCAACAAGGTATAACGCTTCTCGCCGTGTTGAATGCATTCCTTACATTTGAATATGTATAGAAAGGTCCAGTGGCATTCGTTGTATTTTAGTCTAAAGAAACTCGATTGTTTGGATGGTTGGTGTGCCGAAAGATCAAACTGACGGACAGTGTCTACACCTTAAGAGGCTTTATTACGTTTTGTACAAGTGCCTCTTAATCTGTATCTTGCACAGTGAGACATGGAAATGTCGCACCTCACACGCTGGACCCATTTTGCTGCAAATAGATTGCTGATTACAGAGGGCTGGTAAACGAAAACATACCACTGCTGACGCCCTTCTACTCTACCCCTTCTCCATCAGAATACTCTGCTTGTCCCCGAACCCGGCCTGACCTCTTTTTTGCTATGCATCACGTCTAGCTTAAGCCTATGTGCATCTGACTTCTCTAACAACCCTAGACATCTCGAAATTTGTTTCTAAAACAGAGAGCCGGTCCGCTTAGCTACGTTTAATATTCCCTCGCCGAGGCCACCGGGACAACGAACGACCATTGCGTGTTCCCTGGATTCTATCCGTATTGATGTGTGCTACAACTGAGAAGCTAGTAGACCCAGGAATTCAACACCTTTCATAACCTACTTCTGCAACGCCTGCCTTCTAATCCGTTATAGAGTATTAACGGACACTGGGAAGAGGTATCCGGAGCGCTACCCAGTGCAGTACAACCCAGCCAACCTCATCTAAACGGTGGATCTCCATTTGGGCTGTGGGTTTGCTCTTGCCGAATTTCTCCTGGTGGCAACACCAACTCAATTCGATACAGCATCTGACCCCAGGTGAGATTGAATGTCCGTGCAAACCGGGACTCTTTATATATTGGCAAAGCCGAAGAAATGGAAGATTCGAAATAAACTGACTGGAGTTTCTAGTTCCATCAGTTTTCGATACTCGGGTAGAGTTTCACACAGATCCTAGCTGTTTTGTTGGTACTCACCCCCTATTGTACGGATTGGCTGCGTGATAGCCGTTGAAATTATGCCAAACCTTGATTTGCTGTTTCAGTGGCGAGTGAGACACCATTTTAAACCAGGTCATTTTGATAACTTCTCTTGCCTCACACCTGCTGCGCCACATGTATATGTTGCATGAATCAACTTGTGTGGAGTGGTACGCACATCAAACAGCGGTATGGCATCACTGCGTTTTATATGACCTTAACTTGGACTTATCATGGACTTTAAATACAGTGGAGGGAACCTCATTCTGAGTAGGTGTGTAACCGTAGAATTACAAAGCCGTGAGCTAAGATTACAGATGGTATTGAAGGGCGTTGCAAGAGCGACAGAAATCTGAGGGCTGTGTGACCATTTGAGGTGGATTAGCTCAATTCAACTGAAGTAACAACTACAATAACTGACATCCAGTAGTTTTAGATAGGTTCAATTTGGTTTGGATCGTGCGGCAATTCGTACACGGGCTGCAACATTCGTAAATCACTGACCAACAGCTGGACACTGTGAATTGCATTTCTGGCTTATTCGTGCTTGATGGGATAGGAAGTCTTCGCACGAGAGAATGATTGAGGTGGGTCTCGTCGGTTTCAAAAGGATCCTGCCCGCCGTATGTATAACCAGGATAACCGAACGGTAGAAAATTAGACCCTGGGAGATGTCTGCGACAAGCTGCAAACAGTGGAAATTTCACCGAATGAATGCTGAATCATAGGAAGCGATTAACGGTACGCGTTCTTTCCGGTACGGTATTTCCTGAAGGGGACTCCAACTCCAACTAATCAGGTTGTTTAGCCAATTCAGTAATGAAAAATGCAGTTGGCCTGCGCCCTATCGGGAAACCATCCCTCTAATGGGCGGCTCTATTCACGTGAGAATGCCATATTTTCCTGTTCGCTCAGTTGAGAATCGCGAGTTTTTCTTTCCAAGTCTGCAGTGCAACTTGAGATAATATGGGTAGTTTAACAGCCATCAATCCACTATGCATTTCCCTCATCCAATGGGTGTAACGGCATCCGTTGTGCGCTGTTTTGGTTGACAGTTTCTCTGTCTACCGCAGTACCATGAGGTCTTTCCAAATCGGGTGAAACAGCCGCCGTCACTTGATATAGCATCCTTGTAACATCCACCAACTGCAGACTTTCCAATTCATCTGTCAGTCTATACACTGGCACAAACCCCCTGATGTACACGATAAAAGTTTGTGTGGTTCGCGTTTGCTGTATAGTATACGGGAATATTAAGCATTGAACTTGAGTGAAATGTGCTGCTTTACTGTTTGCTGCTATTCAGGTTCATTCGCGTTTACCACATTAAAGAAACCTTTAAGAACGCCCCATGACAACCGATGTGGTTGATTGCGACATCCCTCTAGTACCTGCGCCGTGCAATTAAAACAGGAGAACGACTAGAGCGAACCGTTGAACCCTTTCTTCCTGTTCAGACAGAAATTCTTAATGGCCAGCTTATGCAGTGCACAGAGTAATGAGAGGGGATTCGTGCATTTTGGAAAATGGACCGCTCGAGCTTCGAGGATCGATAAACAACAAGGTTGATTGGCTCACTCACGCGCACAGCCGAAGATGCTATTTCACTAATAGCTATGTGTAGTTGAGATCTCGCATAGACACGGAACCAATGTTAATCACAATCCACCTTTTTAAGGTTACGATCACCGACCGTATGTGCTTTGCATTCGTAAAGCAAGTTGTCCTCATGTGACCCACAAAAAATGGTCACGTGATTTGTACGGTGACCCATGTTTCTCTTACTACTTTTGGCCGTTGAAGGAGCAAAAACTATTGTGAGAAGTCAATAGCCACTATGAGCAAAGACTAGTAAGCACGTGCAAATTGCAAAATCAAAAATTACAAATAGTCGTTGTTTCCCATCTTATCGTTAAGCTGACAGAAACTGTTTGGTGTAATCAGTTTGGCTGAACTTATTTAACTAACGCTTCAGAGAATCCACCAACCCAGATTGGTTGACATTTCATTTTGATGAACATGTGGACTGCAACTCAATTCACTTGATTCATGCCAAGCCTTTTGCTGAGGTAGAACCTGTTGGCCCAGAGTTGTTTTTACTAATTCACTTGAAAGGAAGGAGAATGTCGCACTTATGGATGTATGGACCGTTCCTCCGTGACCAACTTCTTGGGTGTTCTGATGGAAAAGGTAGTTCCGAAACGTGGTGCTCCTTGACCATAACAAAACGGTTTTTCCGAAAGATATCATGTAGAGATTTTCCTGGTCCGGACCCTGGCGGGAGTTACAGGTCACTAAGAAGAAGGCTCTTAGACCAGGTTGCATAATTTATGACAGATCATGCCAGTGTAATAAACCCTTATGAGAGTGAATCCAATGATGTATCGCCTAAAGGTACATTTCATATTGATACACATGCGGCAGGTGTCGTATAGAACTTCACTGCCTCCTCTCTACCCATTGGTTTTAGAGGAAAATCCACCTTCCGCCTGAGTTCAGATCTGAAATTTGGATGGGTGAACTGCGATGTCTTAAATATCGTATTGACTGAAACATGAGTTAGCCTTTGTGCAGCACATCCTGNCCTGCTGAAGAATATCGTAAACGAGGCATTCACCTGGATTCTGATGAGTCTTCCGTGAAAACCAGATTGGTGCGCAACTTGGTGCGTTTGACGAATTTCGTGCAATTTGGTCTCAAGTATAGTCAAGGGTCGACGCTACCTTGGGGACTGCGCCTACATGATGAGCCCCAAAAACTAAACAGGCGAAACCGGTCGTGGGCTCTCGAAGAACTTTCAGCAACCTCATGAGTGGTTCCCTTTGTGAGACCCATAGATCCTAAATAATTGTGAACGGTAAGTAGGAGACCGCTGGTGACTACTCTGAATGAGTCAAAGTTGTGGTGAAATGTATTCGCGCATTGCATTCTGGTAACAGCTCAGCGGTTGGCCCTATGGTTTGCGCAAACAGTATGAATTGCAATTGTCAAGTGATTCCTGTCACGTGGAGTCAGATTATTGATGTAGACGGTCACCGAAAGTAAGTCACGTGGGGTCAAAAGATAATGGATGAGGGGGCTAAATCGACCGGTTGTTAGTTTTGAGCTTAGACTTGAAGTTCAAAGTTATATCCTAGGAAGGGCGTTATGTGAGCGTAGTGCGCGAGATAAAATACGACCATAGTGAATTTTTGATGATTGTGAGACCATTCATGACGTATTTCTGAGTACGTAAAGGGGGGTTGATTCGG